AGCCCAACCATAATCATTTCCTTCTCATGCGCGGCTGACCTCCGCCCTGTCAGCTGGCAACGATGATTTTCTGTCGCAAAAGGCCACTGCCGCCACTCAGTCGCCTACCCCTGACTCTGCCCCGATCCTGCCGCTCTACCCCACTACCTCGGAAGGCCACCGGAGCGCCCACAACCCCTCCGATTTTGGCTAGCCGCCACCCATATGGCTGTCGCGGCTCGAACGTGTCTAGCGGCCATCGGTGCACCACTGCTTGCCGCCCGACAGCCGCGATCGAGCTGATCGACGACGAGCTTCGCGTGGTGTCGACGACGCAACATTGGTGATTTTTCGCAGCGCAATCACCTTCCAAGTGTTGACGGTGGTACTTCCATAGCCGTTTTCACCTCAATCTTCTTCATCAAACAATTTGCGAAGAGGGCGGTGGAAGTGTTTGATCCAGTGTATTTGAAAGCACCCAATGACGAGGACACGGTGAGACTTTTGGAGATGAACAAAGCCATGGCTTTCTGGGCATACTTGGATCCATTGAGTGCATGCCGTGGAAATGGAAGAACTGCCTTGCAACATGGCATGGCCAGTTCAAAGGATGCAAGCAGGATACCACTATCATTCTTGAGGTCGCGACCAATCAGGAGACATGGATTTGGCGTGCCTATTTTGGGATGCCTGGATGTTGCAATGACCGATCACACCCTCTTTACAGAGTTAGCCAATGTGGAACTATCTTGGTGAACGTCCAAGCAAATGGTCACACATACAACTTGGGTATACCTTGCGGATGGGATTTACTCGAAGTGGGCTACTTTTGTCAAGTCACTTTTAAGCCCCCATGGTAAGAAAAACTTCACTTTCATAATTCTCAAGCGACTGCTAAAAAAGACGTGAAGAGGGCTTTTAGGATCTTGCAATCCTAATTTTCTATTGTGTGTGGACCGACTAGATTTTGGAATCAAAATATCCTTTGGTACATCATCATAGCCTGCAGGATCTTGCATAATATGATCATTTAGAGCGAGTATGGACATGATTTGTACTACAGTATCTATGACCTCATGGGACGACCGGTGCGGCCGAGTCGGAGGTAAGGCCGATACCGACATTTTCTTGAGGTGTACCATGGCATTTGAGATGCTGATACGTGCTAAGATCTTCAAAGAAAAATCTCATGGAGGAATGGTGGGCATGGCATGGGAGACAACAGGTCGAATTTTATCTCTATGTTTGTTGCATTTATGTGATGAACTTTGTTGTATTGTGTGCTAAACTTTATTGTTGAGTTTGATGAACAATTTATGTCGTGGATTTGACGAACTATGTAGTAATTTGATGAACTATGTAATAATTTGTTAGTTAGTTTTGAATTCATTGAGATGCATTTGATATTTGTATATGTATGTAATAGAGATGAAGAACTAGATATGTGGATGTCGCGCGGCGGCCATATTTCAGGGTAGCTGTTGGCGTGATTGTGCCATATTTGGTGCCCCGTTATAGGGCAGCTATCAGAGACGCCACTTTGTCGTGCCCCAAAAAAAATCACTTTTTGATGCCATAAATTTTACTTTAAAGGCTTTTCGGTGCCTGAAAATAGGGCAGTTGTTGGAGATGCTCTGAACTTGTCGTATGGACATGATGGTGACTTTATTTATAAAGCGAGGAAAGATCTATTTTGAGAGAGATAAAACTAAGAGATAATCCGTTGTACAACATTTTTTATTGTATTCTCTGGATTAATTACATATGACGGGTTTAAAATAAGATTATCTAACCATTGTACATGCCCTTATAAATAGAATCAATATCTTCCTTCCGTTTGAATTTTGGGTACCTAAGTCGAGAGAAATCGTAAGAAAAAGCATTCCACAGAGCAATATCACAGAGAGGGTACCCAAGCAATCCGCACTAGCCTGACTTTATATTATCGTTCATAGCTTTCCTGACTAGTATAACAAAACTTACAATGGAAGTAAGGGTAGTGTGGTGGTTAGAGAACAGAAAATAAGAAAGGTTATGTCATGTGGCGAGCATGTGCCTGCATGTATGTGCCATGTTTAGCAAGTAATCAAACCTGTGCAAACCAACCTGTGGTTGAGATGGTTAGGTGGACAGTGGTATCCCCAACCCACCGGGTTCAAATCCTGGTGCTCGCATTATTCCTGGATTTATTTCAGGATTTCCGGCGATGTGCTTTCAGTGGAAGGAGACGTTCCCGTCGACGACGAGGCGCCTACGGTGGCTTTGTAAATCTCAAGCTGATATGCCGGCTCAGTCTTTCGGAGGTGCTCATAGGGGTAGGGTGTGCGTGTGTGCGTTCATAGAGGTGAGTGTATGCGCGTGTATATGAGCGCTTGTGTCTGTACTGATGCTCAAAAAAAAGTAATCAAACCTGTGAAAGTTCAGTAATTAGAGCTGGAGAAGAAAACAACGGTCGCTAGAGTGATCTCGACGTTGATCTAGTTGCTTTAGAAAAAAACATGCGGGGTGCACTTAGTCCAGTTTCTAAAGTTGAAATGACCCCTTCACGTTCACTTTTGAGTACTAAATACAAAGAAAAATGCTAAAAGGTTGTGTCTCATTGTAAATCCTTCAATGCTTTGTCAATGCTATCCATTAATAAAACTTGCTAAAAGGTTGCTAGAAATAGGATCAAGCCGCACATCCCAGACATTCGGAAGACCTTGTGGCTGCATCCACGCGGATGGGTAGAGAGATATGATCGGCAGTTCGACAAAATAGGAGGCGTGTAACGTACAACGGCACCACCATCCATAAAGCCTTGCCATGATTACCTATGTCCTTCTGGGTATTTATTCTATCATACCAGAAAAAGAGGATGTGCTAACATTAATCTCCACCACAAGGTAGTCGGTCCAAATGTATTGTCGAGCTCCATAAACCATAACTTTAATGTATCGCCCATCTAACTAGCAATTTCAGTCTCCTATCTTCATGCATAGTTGCTTCAAAAACAACATCCGAAAATCCCC